ACTGAAACCATTGATATACTCTTTCATGATCTTTGACTAATTTAGTTTTAGTTTTTTGTAATTTCCATCTTAAAAGTATATCCAAAATTTTCATGACAAAACAATAAGCAATGTGAAGTTTGCGTGTATACCTTGATAGGCTCGGTTTTTCATGCAGATTTTGAAGAAGATAGTTTATTACATAAATATTCAGTTTTTATGAAGAAAATGTAGAATAGCAAGTCGAATTCTGTTCTTGATCCAAAATTTACAAAAAAAAAAAGATGAGTATTCTAAGCAATGAAGCAATATAATAAAAGTGATGCATGCTTTTCTGATTGATGACATGATCAATGGAACGAGTTAAAATATTAGATTTCTTTGCTTAAGCAGTAAAACTATATAGATAGATTTACTAAATATACCTAGATATATTATAGTGGACACAATTCGAAGTATTATGATCAAAGAGTATTTTTGGTTAATGTCAATTTAATATTTTGTCTTGAGTTAGTTTTCAAGCGCTGAATCCAAAAAAAAAGTATTATCAAAAGGTGACAAGAAAAGTGAAGGAAAAAAATGTTTCACTTTTTGGAAAATGGGTGTTTTTCGACATAAAGCGATACATTCCCAGTTTTTGAGTTTTTGTTGACTGGAAAAAAAACGTCTATAAAAGCTAAGAACTAAATTTTGACGATCAGTAACTTACATTCTAATGAAACATGTGTAAAAAAGATAAACAAAAATATTTACCTGTACCTCATTCGGGTACATAATTAGTAAACAGTGACATCTAAAGTTGTGATTCATTCGAGTGTAACACAATCCAGTGTTTTTACTTTGCGTCTTTAATATATTTATGTAAACAATCGAAGTAGATCATATTACAATTTCTAGAAAATTTTTACGCACAACGGTTTAATATACACTAGATTTCGAATTGGATTGAGATTTCTATTACAGTTGTATGATTAAAGTATAGACATTTGACAGCATCAGTGATAGTAAACAACGAATTATAGCGTTATGCAAAAGTTCGATAAACTTAACACGACGAAAAATTTGCTTTATGGAAGTTGTAATTTGAACATCGACGTGCGTGAAAAAAAAGAAATTGGCTTTTCGAGAAGAAAAAAAATTTTCTAATGAAATTACGGTTTCAAGGATTTATATATATTATATATATCTTTCTCTGGAAGCCTTATTTTCTCGTGAAGTGAGTTACATTACCACCGAAAGTAAAATTAATGTGTCACTCCGTAAAAACTGATATTTTTTCTTTCTAACTTATACATAAAACTTCATCAAGAGAATTTATCAGTATGTAGACTGGCTGATTGTTTACCCACAACATATTGTTGATCATACCCAATAGTCAACTCCTTATTTAAATGTTCAAGTGCAAAAATGAGAGCGTATGTTAATAGCGAAAAAATTTCTATGAACTTACATGACCATCCTAAATTATGATAGTATATGCTTATATTACATCACATTTTATACTACCTTGAAGGAACACGCCATGTTTGTATTTTTCTGATTCAGGGTTGTTTTTTTCCTGCTCTTTGTTACCTATGAATCATCGATTTAATTTGTGAACACTCATATTTTTTTCTTTATAAAAAGACGTGTTTTTTTTCAAAAAAAATCGAAACGAAATTTATGTAATATTTAAGTATCTTTTTTTTTTGTTCTCACTGTGTTTAGTATTTACACCAGAGCTCGAAATCGAATCGAATAGGCCAATGATTCGATTCGACTCAGCCGTATCCAATCGATTACGAATTGAATGTCATCGTAGTCGAATCGAATCGAATAGTATTGTTTCATTTTCGAGTCGAATCGATTCGAATAAAGACTGTAAAAAAGCGAATCGAATCGATTCGAATTGACCAATATGCTGGTCGAATCGAATCGAATCTATTTTTTTTCTCTTTCATTCTGTTGACAGCTGCCTCTTGATTTTTCTCATATATCATTATCGACGAGTGTGTATGAATTGGTATAAAAGGTGACAGCTAATAAAGAACGTGTTAGGCCCCAAACAGACTGAATATTGTTATACATTAAATTTGTTTTAATTCAATCGTCGTCCACACTGAAAGAATAAATCACCAATGAGAATGTAAAATATAGCCTCTCTGATGTAGAGCAAGTGCATAGAACAGCGTCGCTATCATACAATCGCATATGATAACAGAATACTATAAAATCAGTTGCTAGGAGTATAAGATTTTTTGAATCAGTACCTCAGAGCACTTAACCTGATTTTTCCACAACATCTATATCAGTCCTCATCATAACATTATCCATAAAAATTATTGTGATAATTTTAAAAAAACTATCAAAAGTAAATGAGTAGTTATTTATTTATCATAATGTAATAAAACTAACACCAGGTTTAACAATTGATTGGCGTAGAAAAAATCAAAAAATTTTATATAACAGTGAATGAGGAAAACAAAAATATAAAGACGAGACATGGTACAAAAAAATAAATAGTAAAAATTTACAAAGGATGAAGTAAAAAGAAATTAACAAGCGCCTCACGTACATCCGTACCGTCATTCGTATAAATGTTACATGAAGGTTTTTGTGAACAGTACTAGGTGTATCCCAAGCTATCTCGTCTTTATCTCCATTCATAACACATAGATTATGGAGAATAGTTGCAGCTTTCACAATATTTGTTGTATTGCATAAATTAAATTCCATCTTTTTATGTAATAATCTAAATCGATTTTTCAGAGCGCCAAATGCTCTCTCCACCGAGCAACGAGCTCTGCTTAATCTATAATTAAAATTTGAGTACTTCTTTGGCATGTTTGGTCTTTCAGGAAACGGTTTAATTAGGGTGTGGGTTCATCTTCGCCTTAACCACACCCACACCTTAATAGTGAATTTCTTGCCTAGATAAGTTGTAAGATATTTGTTAGGAAATCAAGAGATCAAGGTTATTTGAAGTTCAAATCGTCGTATTAACATAGACAACGACACGTACAATATATTTGAGTGCACTTCAATCAAATGTGTTTCACGACTTATTACTGTTAGTACGTGATAGTGTAATGCTATATTAAACAAATAAGATAACGATAGTTCTTTTCGTTGTATTGTTATGCACTCATGATACACATCCCTTATTTTCTCATTCTTTCTAATATATTCTAATTGGTTCTTTCTCTTTCTGTTCTATGCTTATCGGCTATCAAAAAATTATGTGACTTTCTAACATTTTCGAGTGAATTCTTCCGCCTTCTTTCGAATCTGTATATATATATATCCGTCATTTGGAAAATAGTCCATGATAAATCTTCTGATTAATATTCTCTCAGATTTCACTTCATCAAAACTTATTTCTCTATGACGAACGTCGTTAACATATGTAAACATTTATATGAAAAAGCATTAGAAAGGTCAAGTGTTCATTCAATAAGCACCACAGAAGAAGAGATATCGATCGCAATCAATCTGCTCGATCTATTAGAGGACCTTTCCAACAGTGACAGCTTTACAATAGAGACAGAAGATTCTCTCGAAGTTTCTGATGTCGATCATTTTGACCCGGACTATCCTGTTGAAATCGAAGATGATGAAGAGCAACAAGTAGTCGAAAGTCGTCAGTTCAGTTTAGAATACATGCAAAGGGTTGTCGACTTTACTCGTCCAGGTGTTGCTTTTACAACCTTTCAGCATGCTTTTCGACGAGTTAGACATCCTATGCAATTAAAGCGATTTCGACAATATGTTGCAAATAACGGAAACCGCCGGCAAAAGTTGGAGCGTGTAGAGCATTTTGTACTTGATAGATTTCGCTCTGCTCGTAATAACAATTTACCTGTGCACGATCTTGACGTGAAGCGATGGGTTCTATCCCAAGCAGAAATAGAAAATATAGATGGCTTTAAAGCAAGTGACTATTGACTTCTCAATTTCAAAAAACGCAACGGTATATCTTCCAGAAAAGTGACAAAATTCGTTTCTCATCGGGAAGTTGTTGATAAATCTATAATTAAACAGACTGCTGATGATTTTGTCGCAGAAGCAACCAAACATATACCAAAATATAAGCTTGATTTTGTGCTAAATGCCGATCAATCCAGTATTAATTACGAAATAGCTTCGAATCGTACACTATTTTATACAGGAGAGAAAGCGACTTATCTATCAGTAAAATCTTTGAATGCTATAAGCCATTCCTATACAGTTATGCCGATCATTAGTGCTGCTGATTAGTTGCTCAGTCCTGCTTTTATTTGTCTTCAGGAACCCACAGATCGGTTTCCAATTACAAGAGGGTGTGAATGTGGGGTGTTTTTGGGTGTGAGTGTGAGTAGCTCTAACGTGAAACACCCACACCCACACCCCACCCTGTTACGAATAAAATCAGCATCATCTCAATTTTATTTTTATACTGTCAAAAAATGGTTAAAAGATGTAAAATGGACATCAGAATCGTCCAAACAATGGCAAGAATATTACAATAATGCTCCACGTCTATCTATTTTTATACGAGCAGGACAACTTCAAATTGAAAATCTTACTGTTTTACCTCAATATCAAGATTTTAAATCAGTTCAATGTGAAAAATGAATCATGGAACCTTTTTTTTCTTACCGGAATATTTGTCTATCGAAGATTTCATAGTGATGATGTAATTGTCCTTATTCTTAGTTCTTTAAGGTTATTTATGGAAAATTTAAAGAGATATCTTTTGCTTTCGTTGTTTCAAATTATTCTTGTTTAGAAGTCGGAACTATTCAAGTCAATTTTCGCCTTAGAATGCTAAAATGTTCGATGAATTTTATTTATATCAGCCTCCGTGAAAGAAAAACAATAAAATTAATTAGTCGAGGTAAATATTAAGGAAATATCGAAGAATACCAATCTAAGAAAAGCGCTTTGTCTGTGGAAACGTCTCTTGTAATAGGAAAGCAGTGAATAGTACCATTATTTCTTGACTTTGAACATTGTTTTGAGTAATGGAATTTTTTCACATCTAGAAATATCAATACATATTTCTAAACAAGACAATAAATAGAATCATACTCTTTAATAAATTGTTCTTTAGTTAATTTTTCTTCAGCATTCAAACCAATGAAACTAAAAATTTTTCCAGCAACATTCATAGCTTCATAAGTCGAAGCATTCTGAGTTTTCTTTACACTGGTAGTCTAGAGAAACATATTATAAATCGGTTTTTTATCGCGAGATAATCATTTAAATAGAACTCATTATCTTACAACGATCGAATTAAAACCTGCTAATTCAGTCATATCCATTCTTCCGTCAAGAGAAGTATCACACCTGAATAAGTAGATTAACTATGAAAATAAGAAATGACTTTAAGAACTACTGACATATCGAATAAATATCCTAATGCTTCACGTCTATTTTCTGCCGATGCAAAAGCATTGGCCATTAAAAATTCCACAAAATCAATCTTTTTATCGTGATTTGAATCGAACAGAGTAAATGCGAGTCTTAAATAGAATGTATTCAAGTGAATTGTAAAATTGATATACTGATATGACTCTGTTTCTTTTCTTTTAATGTTCAACAAAGTCGATAAATGTATGAACATACTCGCGAGGAAAGTTCCGTATAGTGCTATCTTCCTTTTGTTTCTGATAGAATTTTTCGTATGTTTCATTCGTCATTATGCCATCCGGATTGTCATGCCAGAATTCCTAGTAAGGGAAAAGATGAGAATAAATGTATATCAAAGTTGGTCATATTTTATATCTACTGCATGTAATTTTTTAATGCCTACAACGAGAAAAATAAGTAAATGATATATATATACATCGAACGAAATAGACTTTTGATTACCGCTTTCACTAAGTTTTGAACGAATTTTTAATACTGCCATGTCTACAATGAATAATGAATCATTCTAGTTAAAGTAATTGTACAATATAGAAGAATTAACCTTCCGCTGTTAATTCTTTGCCTGCACCAGGTTTAACAGTAGGTGTAGCACTCATGATGAATGATTGTGTTAGAAATGAGTGACTGTAAAAACAAAGAATGATATGATATATATAGTTGTAAAAAGAAAGAAGAAATCAATAGATCGAGAATGAACAATTGAAAAAAAACTGGAATCAGCGAACTAGATATCAATAGAGACAAAAAAAGACATAATGATACTTAACTTTTATTCTATTTGATCAAATAAAAGACAACTGGAACGAGTTATATTCTTTGTCTTATTTGAATAATATTTTTATAAAGTTAGTATGAGTCAGAGACCGTCACAGGGCAGTTTTTTTATGTCCTGCCCTACTCTGTACTGATGGTGATTCATAATATTTTTTTCCGCCCTGAGGGCAGGGCAGGGCGACCCGGAACTTGGAAATTTAGCTTAAATTAGAAAAGATCTAATGACTTTAAAAAACCTTGTGATGGTAAAATTTTAAACATTTGTTTAATTCTATTCGATTCAAAGTTATTTGTTTCGATGAAGTTGTAGATGAGGTTAAAATAAGGGTCTCAATTTATATTTACCTTTCATTTAATTTACGCGTAAATTAAATGAGATAAATAATTTATACTAAAATTTATTATAAATATAGATTATCTTGTTACAAAATTTATACTCACTAATAAACATAAATATACATTTATTCGTAAATATAAATTATAATTTACACTTATTTGTAAATATAAATTTTGTAACAAAATAATTTATATTTATTATAAAATAGACGGTAAATGACACCCATAGGTAAAAGTGATTGATTATGAAAATGATGATGTTGTTTTGGAGTTCAGTGCTGAAAAATATTTATCACCATGTTTTTTAAAACATTTTTCACCATTTATTGTGTTGTAAACTTCATTGCTCATACATTTGAAACCACTATGAAATTCAGGAGTTCTTTCTAAATGATTATTACTTAATTATGCTGGATAACCAAATACTCTTCACCATGTAGCAGCAGGTGAAGATCCGTTCTTTATTATTTGATATTTCGATTTTTCGGTCAGTAATTGATGTTTAATCATTGCAGTATCGAATGAACTCTCATAGTAAATGACAACAGATCAAAACGTCGAAGATAGAAAACTGAATGAAATAATTGAAACTACGCAGAAAATTTAATTAAAAAATTTGAAGAAACTTGAATATTGACATGTTTTAAACTTTTATATGAAATATGCTGTACAAAACGAAGTACATGTGTGAAACTATTTGGAAGAAGAATATATGAATATACTTAACAAAAAACTGAATTTTTCTCTTATATAACTCTGCATCATTGAAAAATGCTTTTTTTTTTCTCTTCAAATCATCTGTATGTTTGTATACAAAATATAAATGGATTATATGATATCCAATATAATAATAAAGTATTGTTCTGACCAGGTATAATGTCAAAAGTTATGATAGTCAGTTTATGGCGATATCTATTACAATTGCTCATAATAGCAACATATCAAAATTATTTACTAGCAAAACCTGTTTCAAATAACTGTCTGGAGAAAAAAAAACAGGGCAAAATATTTTTGCCCTGCCCTGTGACGGTCTCTGGTATGAGTAGTACAATCTGTTTATAAACGTTTATGGTAGTTTCTCGTCACATGTACTGTGTTTTTTCTTTAATGTCCTATGAAAATAAAAGAAAAAGAAAAAACTACTTGTTTTTACTTTCCGCTACATAATACAATATACAGGGCCAAATGCAGTAAGGTTGTTCACATTAGACAGACTATACTTGTGATTGATGCTCGAAATCCAGCAAGGTAAAAGCTAATGTACCTCTTTTCTTCGTACATAATGAATCATATCGTTTTACGGTTATTTAGACATGAAATATTTTTAATATTGAAGTCAAATTACATTAATTTTAGAAATATTGAAAACTTATAAATTGTTCTGTCTATGTCAACTAGATTATGGACTGTTTTTTATCTTGATTCTTTTATTTCGAATTACTGTCAAAACTTCTACAAGAGTCATATTTCTTTTTTTTTTTGCAAGTACATGAAGCAGCAATCATGTTCTTATTGAATATATTTTCTGAATGATTTCTTTTCTTAATTGTGCCATTGAGAGAAAAGAAAGAATTCAATTAGCGTCACTCTTCCAGAAAATTGATGCTCAACTCGAGTATCACCAATATATCAACTAATTGAAAAATTTTTCTGTAATAAAGAACTGTTATAGAGAATGAATCAATATAAAAGATTTGGTCAGTTTCACTTACGATTCGAAAGATAAACGTTTAAAATCATTTCATTACTGAGAGTAATTAAGAAACAAATAATTCTAAGAATATATTCCATTCGTATTGAAAATCATAATGATAACTGTTAATGGTGACTGAATAGTGGAAATTATAGGCGGTCATTTATTATTAAAATCGATTTATTCTACTTCAAATACAGAATTCATATTAAAAAAAATGATCATAAATCAACAGCAGATGAAGATTTGTTTTTAGAGCCATTTGATAGAGAACATCTTATTCTACAAATCTAATATGTTTATTTTTTAAACAATCTTTTTTTTTGATCGATATAAAATTTAAAATAGAAATAGCTAATCAATCGTTTAACTAATTGATCCGATTTTCTACAGGAACTTATCTCTTTATATAATTATTTACTAACCCTAATGAAAGAACTCATCGTGTGATGATGCCTCTTTTGTGAATGGTCCTATCTGCTTTTCAGTATACTCTGTAGGTGAATATAAAATACTCATAAGCGTGTGTTTGTGTTAGTACTGTTGTGCTATATCAACTTTTATTTATTACCAAAATCTACAATCACACACAGTGAAATTTGAAAAAAAAACATCAAAACTAGAACTACAAGTTTGACTTTAGATTTATGTATTTTAATGCAAAGAATATAGACGTAGAAATCTTCACTATTTGCGAAAAAGTTTAAACTATTTCCTATCTCTTTATAAAATTGTTAGCGTCTGTGATGATACATCACAACGCTACATGGAGGATTAGATGGTCCTTCTAGTCTAACTGGCTTAGGACATCTGCCCGGATAGCAGAAGGTGTGGGTTCGAGTCCCACGAAGGTCGTCTTTTTCCTCCATTCATGCACATATGTTTCTTTTCCTTTCCTTTCCTATTCCTTTCCTTCCTATGACTCACATATGTTGCTAACAAAAATGAAAATACGATTATAATGACTATTTGTTTTCTTTTTCGATCATTGTATTGAAAAAATCGTATTTTCATTATATATAAGTAAGAAAATATCTAACTAGCTTGAGTCACAAAAGAAAATTTTTGTCTATACCTTAAATAGTAAGAATAAAATGAAACATCGATGCAAGATAGTACATATAATGATGAAGAAACAATAACAAATGTTTTACTGATAATGAGAAATAAGAAAACAAATAAACGTATCAAATTGCTTACTATTACAAAAAAACAGAAATAGATATTTTTAAACTAGTAACTAGTTACATTCGAATAGTAGTTCACAAAGAATTAGATAGAAAACAAAATCATTTGCCAATAGTATATTCACGCATTTTAGTCTAATATTACGATCATTATTTTTAACAAATTCGTTGGTTGATTCCTCGTCCAACGATATTCCACAATCAATCAGACAAATTTAATTTAAATTGATGAAATATACTTAATACGAATCTACATAATTATTTGTTTTCAAAACTTAAATCTTATCCAAGAAGCTAACAAATGAAAAACAAAAATCATTTTTCTCTTCCGTCTGCAAGTCACCAATGATTTTAATCGTGTAAATAACTCGACAAAAAGTTGAGAATCAAATTGATCAATCATTAAAACAATTTTTTTCTCTATTTTTCAATTAGTAGCATCATTCTCGTTAACTAAGTAACTTCAATTTATTTTTGTATATAATAGTGCATAAGTGCTTCCTTAAATATTCTGTGTAAAACGATTATGAGTACTCATTCTGGAAAGTCGTACTCGCTTGATGATTATTTTCATTAGGGAATGAAAATTTATGCTTAAATTAAAGTATTTTGTATCGATGAATACAAAATTACGTATTCTCTGTTTCCAAGTCCTTCTCAGGTTCTTTTACAAATATTTTTCAGAATAGAAAAGCTTCGAATAAACACCTTGTGGTATTTTGAGATACATCCTCGAAAATTATGTTTTTCAAAACAAACCTTAATCTACAACAATCGGGAAACATCCATTTAAAGATACGAATTCAAATTTCAGCAAAACCTGCTCGAGATATTATTCTTTTTTTTTCTGACTGCCTTAGTTAAGCATATGAATAGATATTCGTCGTTTGAACTTGGTACCGACAAAAACAGTTACTTGGAAAAAAAAGGATTGAGTCTAAAACAAAGTCTTTAATGCTTCGGAAAGCGTTCTTAACAAAACAAAAGACTTTTAGCCGTTGATTACGATCTACTCATTACTATCATCTTATTTAAATGAGCAATTAACCACTTGACATCATCAAGATTTTCACATTGAAATATTGACATGTATCTCAAGTATAAATTAAAATGACTTTGTTTCATAGAGAGAGAATAACTTTTTGATGACGAAGTTTGTCAATCTAGAAAATTTCGATGAAAAAAAAACATACTTGTGTGATTGATAGTTTAATTTTCCTTTGAAAGAGTGGTATCGATTATCAATGAATACATTTTTTTCCTACACTTTATTATTAGTGAAGGTTTCGGTTCAATGATTTTCAAGAACTGTTCAATCTTGAGCACTCGTCAAAATACAACTCTCTGAATTTTCGCAAAAAAAGGGATTGAAAATGAACTTTCGATACAATCAGATTTAAAACTTAGTTTATTATAAATTCCAATACGACCT